TGATATGAAAGGCTTCTGATGCTGTGAGACGTCCTTTGTGATTTCTGAAATTCTTCACAATGATTTCAATATTGTCAAAATCAATTTTGTGACCTGATTCTATAGCGTGTAGACTACCACCTCTGGCTGATGATTTTTCAAGCTTTTCTAGTTCACTAACTGGATTTCTCGGTGGTTGGTCGAACAGATGCTCTGCTCCACGGTGTTCATTTCTTCTGATTTTGATTTCTCTCTGGTAAGGCTTCTCCGATGTATATATGGCATCACACTCCAGGCATTTTATTTTACAGACACAATTAAATACAGAATCCTTAAGCATTTGGTCTTTTATATGGACAAGGGTGGTTGCAATGTGTCTGATGTCTTGAAGAAAACTCTTCGGTTCAATCAGTCGACGTGAAAATCTAAATTTCATTTAAAATTCTAAGAAATTGTTTGTTCTTTTTATTTTCTAAAGGTCTAAATGGCTATTATCGAATGCTGTAGCCCACAAATTAATCAGGATGTCATTAATAAATCATAAGACAAAAATACTTTGTTTGTTAAAATCAAATATTATTTGATTTGGTTGTGCTCACTGAGCTGATTGATTTGATTTCGAAGCTTTCATCGTCTTTCCTGACAACTTCTTTAGAGGAAGCTTTAATGTGAAAGTAAAAATAACCTAGTGATTCACAAAGAAAATGGTGTGCAGACAATGTTTAAAGGAATTAAAGCAGACTGAATACCCCAGCACTGAAGATTGCAGAAAAAGTATATCTACTAACTTTGTCAAAACTTCATGAAAAGTGTTTGATCTCAACTCAAAACGCTAAAAGAAACCGTCGTCATAAACCACAAGGAAATAATTTTCACTCTATAGAAATGATATCTCTGAAATGAGGACGAGAATATTAGAACCACTGCAGTGGACATGGCACGGAAGGCAGCACAATCAATCCATTCAGTAGTGCGAAAACCGAAAGATCCAACTGAAAAAGATAAGATCACCAGTACCATTTACAAAATTAATTACTTCAACTGCAATAAACATAACGCTAGTCAAAGTAGGCATCTCCTTCGAACCAGAATCTAAGAACACACACTAACTGTCAATAGACATGTCGATGCTTGCAGACAATTACGGACACCCATATGACTGGAAGAATGTAGAAATTTCAAACAGAGGGAAGAACATAAGTGATCAAATAAAGTATAATTATATTTTAATAGTTTACACACAATGATAAGTTTTGTTATTGGTAATATTTCGAGCAAAATTACTGCCCGTGTTCACACCACTGTTGGAATTGTTTTATTCCAACAAAAGTGATGCCTGAGAATTTACAGAAGCCTGGTACTCAGATGAATAGTAAGGAATTAACAAAAACATTACTACAGATCAAATTTACATGACAAGAAAGTTCAAATTCCAAACTGACAACCAGTCAAAACAAGTTCATTTTATATATTGAAGCCTGAAATGAAGATGATGTCCAGAATGACAATGAAAGCTACACAGTAACAATCAATCACATCAAAGAACATAATCACATGAAAATCACCCATCTGGGATACAAAACTCCTCTATTATTTCAACCATTATTGGTTAAAAAGTTTAATTTATAGTTGAAATACAAGTAGAGAATTACAGGCCTGTCTTGTCATCACGGTTTGTTGAGGTGAGCTTCTCATCCATCTTGAAGCCATGCATTATTATAATGAGTAGTGTAATACAGTGAACGAGGATATTTCTAGGTGAATTTGCCAGTGAGAGTTCAACATCCCACATTTAGAAGTAAACTAAACACTCAGTGATTTGAACCTCAAGGTGTTATTCATTAAGGCTATTAAGTTATGAAAATTTGTTTTATTCGCACATGCAATGTTTTGTGATATTGTGTTTACTTTACAGGGTCTAGTCAATCCATCTGTCTTCCCCTATATCCACAACTATAAACTATGACAAGGATAGCAGTAATAACTACTTTGCTGAGCATTTCATGTTCTTGTCTGCCAGCATCTGTGAGCTGATGAGTACAGAGCCTAATTGTAGGCTAGTCAGATCCATCAGAATAAACATGTCTAATTACTAGTTCACTCACAAGTGTGTATCTTTAAGTGAATTAACAACTAATCTTATACCCTAAACATATCTGTGTTTGAACGTCGTAATTTTGCAATAAGACACGCTTGCCATTTTCATCATGCTTATAATTTTCATTATTAGTTTCACAAGATTTATTCCTACAGAAAAGGATCATATCGATCATAAGAACAGGTACTGATACAGTGATTCTATTGGACTAAGAGATCCGCCAAGAATAGCCTGGTAATATATGAAGGCTACCAATATTACTTTAGGATTTAGAAGGAATATTAAACTTACAGTCTTTAAAGAAACAGTAACTAACCGTTTTTGTTGTAAAGTGATATTAGCGGAATGAGTGTATAAACGCCGTTTAATTCTTTCAGTATGTTGAAAGTATAGGTTAATTTTTATTCCACGCAATGCATTACTAGTGCTATTCGCTTGGATTCCGAATGAAACATGCGGCTTCAGCAGCACATTTTAGCTGCACCCTATTTTCTGCAGTCCAATTCATCTGAAAACATGATTTTCCACAGTGCCTCATATTCTCCTCAAAAAACCTCTCTTCTGTGTCATCCTCGTGACACACGCCCTATTCGTTGTTTTTCATCCAGGTTTCACTCAAACGACGGCCTGGCACGCGTTGTTACTTAATGGTCTCCTGAGCGAATCTGATCCATCTCTGTTTTCTTCATTATATTTGTTGAGCAACAGGTCCTTGATTAGTTCATTCTCAGGGTTCCTTCTAGCTGATCTATTCTCGAAGGCCATATGATATTCAGTATGGAGCCAGAAAAGACAGCTGTTGATAAAAGTCTTCAGTGTGTCAGAAATGTCTCCGCTTGGAGCTCCGAATTTTTGACCCATATAGAAGAAGTGACCGATTTTACATTGATGCTGACAACCCGAATTTTGTCCCCTAAGCTGAGGAGTGAAGAAGATTTCAAAAATGATTTCAGACTGATGAATGTCTGTCTTGCTTTTCCAATTCTGCTTGTCACATCCTGATGCGTGCTGACTGCTCCCAGTTGAAAAGATTCTACGTAGATAAGTGAGGGAGGTATCCCGTTTCAAATTTATTCCGTTGGTAATGATTGGTGCTTTTTAATCCTGTTGCTGGTTTGTTGTCTTCATCACTTCTATCTTTTCTATGTTCACTTGAAGTCCTTTCTTTGCCGGCTAACTCTTCCGTCAACTTTTCAGTTTTCTCCCGGAAGTTTTCGAGGTATAAGTCACCCGCAGGGTTAATATCTTCGACAGCCTTCCTATGGGTCCAACGTATTCCCAAGCAGAGTCTCCTGCAATAAGCCAGTCCACCACAAGTAGGAATGTCAACACTCATAGTAGTCATCCACCTTATCTTACTCTTGTCTTCACTTCAAAATCTTCTTTGAGTTTACGCTGTGGATCATTTGCGATCACTTGCGATTGTCATTTAGCTGTTAAATGAGGTTGGTACAAATTTGTGGCATTCCGTAGTACTGAAGTACCTTTCAAATTACCTCGTCGTCAACGTTGTAAAAGGCATTTTCAAAGTCGATGAAGTTGAGGTAATCACTTCAAATTACCAAAACGTTATTCAGCAATTTTAAAAGTTATCGAGAAATATATAGTCTGAGGAAATTAAAAACGATTAGTCCCTTTGATACATTTGAATAAGGCATTAGGAAGACTAATTTCTCGAGATGATATCGTCATTTCGTAGTTTCTTTACAACCGCTTTACACAACTAACACAGTTAACAATAATAAAATAAAGATCATGACAATTACTCAGTTAAATAAAAAAACAAAAGTACATATTAATGACCAATCATATTTAGATAGGTCATGTTGTCCATGGTAGGCGAAGATTGAAGTCTATTGCTTCCTATACACGCATAGTTTAGGATGTATGCGATTAATCCAAAGTGCTTCCATCACATAAAGTATAATTATATTTCAGTAGTTTACACACAATGATAAGTTTTGTAATTGGTAATATTTCGAGCAAAATTACTACCCGTGTTCACACGACTGTTGGAATAAAACAATTCCGACAGTGGTGTGAAAACGGGCTCGAAATATTACCAATAACAAAACTTATCATTGTGTGTAAACTATTGAAATATAATTATACTTTATTTAATCTAATCCACAATGCTCAAACTTTTTACTGATATTGCTTCCATCACCTTCAATCACCAACCTTGAATTAAACTTATGTGATGAAATAATTGCGAAACAGTCATTAATATTGATTTTGTGACCTGACAATAATGTGTTTTCCAATGGATGGTGTTGGATTTCTACTAAGATTAATCGCATTGGGATTTTCTATAGGATTTAGTAGCCATTTTGGAACATGTTCTTTTCGACAACATTGGAACACTCTGTTGGTTCTACCTATTACATAGGTGTCACCGCAGCTGCAGGTGAACTCGTAGATACAGTTTGTAGTAGAGTCCACAGAATTCGGTCCTTCAATCGTAGGTACAGGGATGGAAAAATTTCGGCATCTGAGGGAAAGCGATGCGGCGTAGAATGTGAGTTTGATGGCTGACCGAAGTCTTCAAAATGTCTTCGAACTGCATAATCTGGTCGCCCTCGAATGGTAAGTTAATATAGATAGCTTTGTTTGGTAGAGAAACTGTCTTTTCAAGATGTGGTCTTTCCTTACTATGATAACTGGTGAAGTTTTCTGGATAACCGTTAGCTAATAAAACTGAATGTGTATGTCGAAACTTAGCCATCAATGTTTCACTCGTGCATATTTTGTAGGCCCTTGAGAATAAACATTTCACTAGGGAATATTTATACTGGATAGGAACAAAACTGGTAAAATGAAATTTGTCTTCTGAATGCCTTATTCAAATATATGCAGTCGTTTTTTTCATCTATCACTGTTTATCATTAACATTATAAGATGGTGTTGTTTTTTTAATTTTCAGGAGCTCTCAAATATCTTCACAGTTAGAAAGGTAAATTCAGCTTCCATTATACACCAATATTGATCCGTCAGCGGACTGTTCAGTGGACTATTTCCCTATCCCAAGTTAATCTGCTTCAGACACTTACTTACATGTCTTTCATTGAAATTTTAAAAACACACCAGTTTGACGTGGGCCGGATGAACAAAGATTCCAGTGAGTAGACATATTTAACAAAGTACTCATTCTGTACATATAGAAAGATATTATCTTTCTACACATTATGCTGCTATATTTATATATATATATATATGTATATTGAGTTATTCCTACTTTTACTCACTTCCATTTTTCATTTCTCTCTTTCTCAGTGAATTATTTCACTGTTTCCCTCCTGTTATGTACATAATTTCTACTGAAGTTGTCTGTCTTTATTTATTACATTTTTTATTTTGAAATCTTATCAGATTCTTGTTCAAATTTCCTATCGTTTATTTAAACAATGTTCAATGGTTAAGATTTTCATTTGTCAAATTTGATGAAATCAGCCCTTTTATCTTTCTTGTATATCTCGAATTATTTAATTAATATTGAATGATATATAAATATAAATATATATATATATGAGAAGTCTTTTTGTTGGTGAGATTTGTTAAAAGTGCATTAGAATTGAAAGTAGTTGCTGCATATATAAATTGAAATCACCACCCACATTGTAGAAAGTTGGATTGTATGTATCGAATCGTAGAAAATACCATTCAGGAAATTATTCAGAAAAGAACACGAAGTATTCGGGGGCAAACAGAAAACATTTCATTGGCGATTTCATTCTCAAAAGCAGATGTACAATCGCACTGCTTCGGTGGCACAGTGGTTAGGACCCTCGCCGACCATACACATGGTCCGGGATTCGAGCCCACGCCGGCGCACACCTGATATCTATGGTCGGCCTGCGAATTTTGGGCTACCGATATCCACGCTGAAAATTCCACACTTGTACCAAAAATGCGGTGTGGAATCAAGCTGTAATCAAAAATAAAAATAAAAAAATATATATCCTTCAAATATTACCAGGCTATTCTTAACTAATCTATGTGTCGCGTACCTTGTAGCAAAATTACGAGGTTCAGACACAGATGTGCTGAGGGTATAAGATATTCTCATGAAAAATTCCCATTGTAACATATAGAAAATCAAAACAAGCGGTGATTCAGCGAGGAGACTCTTTTCAGCGAATTCATCATCAAGCTGTACTATCATATATATGCATGGTTCTTAAGAAGTTATATTCGGTGAGGGAATTGAATCATAGGTGTGAATGCATAAAATAATAATGATAATAATAATAATATGAAATGCAATTAAAACTAAAATGTTTGTGATTATAATCGTAGTTCAATGTCAAGTGGCAAAGCAAATTAATGTCATATATAGAATAATTCATAGTATGGATAGAACTTGAAAAAGGGTGTGCAATTATCAGATTAGTAGGCAAATCGAATAAAAAACAAAAAACGTTGCGTAATATTGTGTGGAATTTAATAGCATAGAATTTAACGTTGAAAAACGAAACTGGTTTAGAATGACAAGTGAAATAATACCGGGGGCAGTTCAAAGTGAGAATAGTAATAGTAACAATTTACGCATTAAACGAAGGGTATACAAATTGATTAGACAAAATGGAAAAATTGGTAGAGTCAAAATAAGTTTAGGAATTCCCATAATTTAGGATAGAGGTATTAAGACCATGAAAGTTAGAGGGTCAGACGAACTTTTTCTGTATATGGACACCTGACCCCTCTATTTCGAATGCCAAAGATGGCTTCAGCAATACAGCTGAGGTGGATATGTAGTGATTTGGGCAAAACATTTTACTCCTTGAATATGACTTTAAAGGCGGAGGATATAGAGATAGGGGGAACAATATAGACCAGATATTCAAAGATCGCGCATCCTATCGTAACCATGAAGGATAGTTTTCTTGCACCATCTTAGAAAAAACTCGAGTCGAGCGACCGATAGACCTAGCTCCACACGAGCAGGTGAATTGATAAACGCACACAGAGTTGGTCAACAGTGGGATCTTGTCCTTCAGGTTACTGAAGAGTGATGGTCGACTATTAAAGGCTATTCTCAGAGATGCAGCAGGGAATGTCCTTTTCAGGGACTGTGATATCCTTCGTTTCATGATATCGGAAGCTAAGTCCCCTTTGAATTCCAAGCTCATGTGGAATCTTTTCTTGGGTACGGTTGATAAGTCACGTTTTATAGGCTTTGAATGTATATTCTTATCTATAAAACGTGGTGAAAATCCATTTTCTATTAGGATTTTCCTCAAAAGGTATAACTCATCTTCCACAGCATCAGTGTGACATATTCGCTGAATAAGAGTGGCAAGCGACCGGACCAGGTTTCGTTTTCGACCAATAGGTACCCACCTGTAGAAATTTGCCGGTTGACCATTCCATGAGATAAGATATGTCACTAAGTCAATTAAAAGACACAGGATTGCGAATGAACTAGTAATTAGACATATCTATTCTGATGGATCTGACTAGCCTACAATTAGGCTCTGTACTCATCAGCTCACAGATGCTGGCAGACAAGAACATGAAATGCTCAGCAAAGTAGTTATTACTGCTATCCTTGTCATAGTTTATAGTTGTGGATATAGGGGAAGACAGATGGATTGACTAGACCCTGTAAAGTAAACACAATATCACAAAAGATTGCATGTGCGAATAAAAACAAATTTTCATAACTTAATAGCCTTAATGAATAACACCTTGAGGTTCAAATCACAGAGTGTTTAGTTTACTTCTAAATGTAGTATGATGAACTCTCAATGGCAAATCCACCTAGAAATATCCTCATTCACTGTATTACACTTCTCATTATAATAATGCATGGCTTCAAGATGGATGAGAAGCTCACCTCAACAAACCGTGATGACAAAACAGGCCTGTAATTCTCTACTTGTATTTCAACTATAAATTAAACTTTTTAACAAATAATGATTGAAATAATAGAGGAGTTTTGTAACCCAGATGGGTGATTTTCATGTGATTATGTTCTTTGATCTGATTGATTGTTACTGTGAAGCTTTCATTGTCATTCTGGACATCATCTTCATTTCAGGCTTCAATATATAAAATGAACTTGTTTTGACTGGTTGTCAGTTTGGAATTTGATCTTTCTTGTCATGTAAATTTGATCTGTAGTAATGTTTTTGTTGATTGCTTACTATTAATCTGAGTACCAGGCTTCTGGAAATTCTCTGGCATCACTTTTGTTCTTCCCTCTGTTTGAAATTTCTACATTCCCCCAGTCAAACGGGTGTCCGTAATTGTCTGCATGCATCGACATGTCTATTAACAGTTAGTGTGTGTTCTTGGATTCTGGTTCGAAGGAGATGCCTACTTCGACTAACGTTATGTTTATTGCAGTTGAAGTAATTAGTTTTGTAAATGGTACTGGTGATCTCACCTTTTTCAGTTAGATCTTTTATTTTTCACAATTTACATAGATACAATTACTACTTAACTCTCCTTAATAACGACGGGGACAGACGCAAGTTGATGATAATTTTTGCAGCTTGATATGAAAAGCGGAAAGTGTGAACAGAGTTTGCAAGGGGCTTAGAAATAAAACTGCGAATCATTAGAAAACAGTCTTTTAACGAAAATGGATGCAAAGAACTGGATTCAAGGTAAATGTAGACATTGGATTAGTTTCTTTGAGGCTGATAGCTTGGCTTCTCGATTCATATGGCGAGGGCTTCTGCAGAACAAAACGTTCAGAAACAAACTGACTTTAGTATATTTTCGTTCACTTCGTAAATTACTCTTTATGATTTAATTCGCTGAGACGCTGGAAATGTATAGTTGAGGCGTTCAGTTATGGAGCTTCTGATTGAATCAGTGCACCCTCTTTGCAGCCAGGAAAGTTGATGTTCTCTCTCATATTTTTTTAACAAAGTTATCAAAAGGTTATACATAAACGTGCAAATATTAATTTACCAAATATTGTCATTAACAACATCAATGTTGTTTTAAATTCCATTCAGTCAGTAGTATCGACTTTGAAAAGGGATTCAACAGCGTCGATCGAGAGGTCGTTTGGCAACTCCTTTGCTACCACCAAGGGGTCCCATCGACAATTATACATCTCATCCAACAGTTATGAGACAATGCTGCATGCCAAGTAATCCACAATGGGAAACTTACGGAATCCTTCGAAATGAGGACGCGAGTGAGGCAAGGATGTCTACTATCGCCAATGATCTTCCTGATTGCAGTAGATTGGATAATGCGACAGAAAACAGGCAATGAAAAAAAAGCATTAAATGAACTCACACAAAAAAGCGTGGAGGATCTACACTTCGCACTTCGCCGACGATATATGTCTGATTTCCCACAATGTGATGGAAGATATGCAAGTGAAAAGCAACAGGCAGGCAGAAGAAGCACCAAATATAGGAAGGACTTCAGGTGAGCATAGAGAAGACAGAACTGATGAAGATTCCTGGCCAACACCATCAGCAACAACAGACAACAATCAGCATAAATGGGAGGAATCTGGAAGAAACAACCTCCTTTAACTACCCACCTACGTGTGAAGCATCGTTTCAACTACAGGCGATTGGAACTGACGAGGATATAAAAGCAGCGAGGATCGGGAAACCAAGACAAGCTTTCATTACTCTCAAGTCTGTGCGGAGGTCAGCAGCACTCAGCATCAAAAATAAGATCCGGTTTTTCAACTCTAATGTGAAGCCAGTCAGTGCTGATTACTATACGGATCAGAGACTTGCACTGTGCGTCATAAAGAGCACCACAAACAAACTACAGACCTTCATCAACAGCTGTTTTCGCTCAATACTACTGAAGATCAGATGGTCGGCGAGAAAAGATCAGCAACAGGGATCTCTGGCAATGAGCGAACCAACCAGGAACCGATTGTTCAACAAATAGGCAGGAAGAAATGGAGGTGGGTTGTCCATACTCCGAGAAAACCATCAAGTGACATCACCAGACAAGCCCACGAGTGGAACTCGAGAGGGAAGCGGTGAGTTGGTCGTCAATGCGAGGGTGACTTGGAGGAGGTTATGTGAAGAGGAGACGAAAGCATGTGGGCAGACTTGGAGCGGGGTGAAAAATTTGGCAGAAAAGCGAAGGCAGTGGAGATGCGCAGCTGAAGCCCTATGTTCTTCTAGGAACTAAAGGATATAATAATAATGATAATAATAATCAACAGCTGACTAAATTTCATAAGCATTAGTAAGGGGAAGAGAGATAATATGCATCAGTATAACACTAAACTTGTAACGACAATAGACAAGGGCCAGGTAACAGATCGTTTATTGAAAAAAATCAAGAGATATTTCTAGATTTAAGTGTTCATTATTATTAGCGTTATTGTTAGCAAAGGAGCATCCTCTTCTCATTGGTTGGCTTCTTGCTGTAGGTTATCCTGTCATCTGTTTGTGACCATTTCTTAGAAAGTTAAGCCATATATCTGCGAATCGTATTTTCACAAGTCGTCTGCTTTGAC